TGGAAAGAAAGTAGAACGTGACAAAGGCATCCATAATGGTGGTCGGTATACCCCAGTGACGACGAAATCGAGCAAAGAAATAGTGAAAGGGCTTCCACATGTACAGCAATGGTTTAAACCCAAAGCCATACAATTGAACCATCATGTATGCTATGGCCATTACTAACATAGGATAAATGGCTGTAAGATAGTCCAATACCAGGATGTGAAGTGGAATGACATTAATACAAACATCAGGCAAGACATCAACTCGAAGAAAGTCAAGATTCCAAATACCGTAAAGTGTTAACAGAAGTTTCCAAAAAAACAATAAGGACATTTTCTTTCCCTGAGACAGAATATACAACATGATCCTAAGTAATGCAGGAGTTGAAATATTCTGAGCTGCATACACAAACATGTGGAGCTTTGGGGAAAGTACATTGATCCTGAAGACCAGAATTATGACAATGAAGACTGTGAGAGGGAGAAAGGCAAAGATTATGTAGAGTCCCCAGTTTTCCATTTCACTGTCACATCTGATGCATTTAAACGCATAGGAATATGCTGGCACAGTATAGCCATCCAGACACTGTCCACAGAGTGTTCCTTGCCTGTTGAGACTAGCACAGTCAGATGGTGCACCGTGATACATGATGTCTTTAGACCATGTATGGTTTGCACAGTTAAAAATGCAACTTCCAACTACTGGCAGTTCTGTTCCATGTTTGGTATAATGAATTGTTAGGCAGTTGCAGTCACTGACAGACAACTCTTTAGTGACTGCGTTACACTGAACAACTCCACCAATATCATCTCCACAATGACATGACTTGGTTTGGTTATCCCATACAAACCATAAATTAGAACATGTTTGCTCATTCACATTATCTTGGGGAATAATGCTATTCACTGAACTGAGATTTGGTACTCCTCTAAGGTTTTGGTCCCTGCTTTGTTGCTTCGATACGTTTTCTTCGAAAAAGTCATTACCACTTCCAAAGTTGTTCTCCTGTCTTTTACTGATAGTATCAATTTCAACTATGACAATAAACAGTAGCGTAAGGGCAAAAGACTTCATACTAGCTGTTCTACAAAGCCGAACGTAAAGTAATGAGTGATCGAGAGTGAAAAATACGCACAAAATGGTGAACATGTCGTATGAAAAACATCTAGCATGCAATATCCATCTGTCTTTGTTTTGAATACCACAAGAACATGAACATTTTGATATGGAAAACGACGCAACCAAGTATTCTTTAGGCATACTTTCTGCATGTGGATCTAAAGATTGTGTGGGTGAATGATATGCACACGGAATAGCCAAGCCTTTGACGTCATTCGTCAACCTAAACACATAACGTATAGTTTGGGCAGCAAACTGTTACACAAGGGATACAAAGCATTGATACTGTGCAGAAGATTTATGTGGTACTTAGCTGGTAAGAGTGTTCCTGTGGTTCAGACTTGGCCTGTCAGAGAAGGTGCACCATAACACATGATTCCCTGGTTATTCATTTACCCAAAAATGATGCACTAATACTAAAAGGTTTGTGTTCTTGTTTGGTAACTGAGACTGAGAGCTCTTTGGTAGCAGTGTCATAATAAGCAGCTCCATTCAGATAAGTTAGGTTTACGTTGACATGTTTTGACACAAACATGGCCCTAGAGTCTCTCAATATTCTATATATCAGTGTGCAGATGTATTTATGACACTAGGGATGGCACAGGTGAAATATCATGCAATCTGCATACAAAAGTTTACAAACTCAGCAAAAGCACATAGCTAAGCCTTCAGAACACACTAAACACACAAATTACAGGTGTATATAACAGATACGCCCCAAGTGTTGAAACATGGTTGTGCTAGCTCTCCATGCAAGACTCTGCTCATAATTTTATGTCATCACATTGTTTTTCTTCTTCAGTAAACGTACTAAACACTGAGCAACAGGTTCTTGTAACGACAGAGACGTGGATTAGCTCAGACACTGGCTGGTATATTTAACTCTGTATTGCCTGTTAGACTTGGTTACTTATTAACCTAAGCAGGTTGGCCCTAGACACTTGGAATTTAAGCTCATGTCTCTCTTTTCTGAAAGTATGAACGGTCTAGGATAAGAAAAAGCTGAATGCATCATCATCTCCACCAACAATGCTCTTTGTCACAAAAAGTACCTTCTAAAAGACGCGCATAGAGAAACTGTTGATTGTACAAAAAGCAACATGCAGTCACAGCCATATGTCCAGGGTCAGAATAACCATTTCGGCCGGATCCACACACTGCAAAGAAAAACAGTCATCTCAAAACATGTTGTGTTTTTAAGCCCTATGTACACAACAAGCCAGCTGTTTGTGCCTGCTTTCAAGGGGACATATATAAGTACATGTCCCTCTCATATATACCTTTCCTGCATAATCGAAAAGGAACAATAAAACGCACCAAGCTAGACAAGTGAGCGGCAGAGTGGGTATGTGGATAGCCAAAAGCTCTCTGGTTGGCTTATACATATGTATAGTTTGCACCATGTAACTTAGTAATAAGCTCTATGAGTCTCAGTTCCTTTATCAAGGAAGAGCAATGTGTGGTAAGAAAACAAGTACAGTGAGACTTTCCTAGATTTCGCCTTACGAAAGTAGAGGATTAAACAGGCTGCAAATTCTCTCCTAAGGCAAAGAGCTGAATGCTTGCCACAAAGAGTACAAAGCAAAAAAGAAACTTGAATGCAAAACGCTCTGCAAAACAGTGTTTTGGAATCAGGCCTATTACATTCCACATCAGAGCACCAATATTAAATTGAAGCCAGGTTCGAGATCCTACGGTGGAAACAATTGTTTATCGTTACTGACATGAGTAAGTGAGACCAAGTTAAAAATGCTGGGGTACAGGTCAAAAGACATAATAAATTTACCAATGCCATCACACAGTGTTGAAGGCATTATGCAGACTGTCCACAGTGTGCTGAAATTGAAGCTATGTAGCCACAAGTGTCTCTGTACTGGTCGGGGTGCAGCAGACGATGTGGCAGTGAGCTGGTGAGTCCATCCCCTGCTTTCTGTCCTCGGAATCTCATGATCAGGTGGTGTAGGATGACTAATGTGATGTAGGATACTAGTGGCCAACAGTGCATATGGCAGGTGTTCTCCACCAAAGTATTCAACGCTGGGGTCATAGTACAAGTTAAACGACAACAACTTTCCATCACTTGAGAAAATTGGTACAGCAATCAAAAGATCAAATGACACACTCAACAGTTTAGTGGTGGAAAGGAAGAAGAATGTGACAAAGGCATCCATAATGGTGGTCGGTATACCCCAGTGACGACGAAATCGAGCAAAGAAATAGTGAAAGGGCTTCCACATGTACAGCAATGGTCTAAACTCAAAGCCATACAATTCAACCATAGCGTATGCAGCAGCCATTAGCAGCATAGGATAGATAGCTATGAGATAGTCCAATACCAGGATGTGAAGAGGAATGACATTGATACAAACATCGGGTAAGATGTTCACTCGAAGGAAATCCAGATTCCAAATCCCATAGAGTGTTATCATTATGGTTACTGGAGTAAATAGAAAGTTTTCATCCTGTTTCGATATGATATAAAGCACCGTCCTAATAAGTATAGGTATTGAGCAGCAATCACAAACATGTGGAGCTTTGGGGAAAGTACATTGATCCTGAAGACCAGAATTATGACAATGAAAACTGTGAGAGGGAGAAAGGCAAAGACTATGTAGAGTCCCCAGTTTTCCATTTCACTGTCACATCTGATGCATTTAAACTCGTAGGAATATGCTGGCACAGTATAGCCATCCAGACACTGTCCACAGAGTGTTCCTTGTCTGTTCAGACCAGCACAGTCAGATGGTGCACCGTGATACATGATGTCTTTAGACCATGTATGGTTTGCACAATTATAAATGCACTTCCCAACTACAGGGAGTTTTTCTACTCCTGTGGTGCCATGAATCGTGAGACAGTGACAGTCTATGACTGACAACTGTTTAGTGAGTGTATCACATTGTACAATACCATCGAGGTCATCTCCACAGCGACATGACTTGGAATGGTTATCCCATACGAACCATATGTTAGTGTCACGGCATGTTTGCCCATTGACATCACTCTGGACAACACCATCACCGTTCTCAACATTCACAGAACCGTTAGCATGTGATGTTTCTCTAATCCGTTTGTTATAGTGGTGATCTTTCCACAAGTCATGCTTATCTCCATCTTTTATGAGGTCAAGTTTCGTTTCACTGACACTAGTAATACTACCTAGGATAAGAAACAGGAGTTGAAGGCCCAAAATAAGTCCATTCATGCTCTTTGTTTCTAAGCACCACTTAAACAACTAACTAATGGAATAAACATTTCAACTTAAGTACGAGACAGGATGAAACATTTGTTCTGCTTTACTGATACACAACACGTAACTAGCTACACCCATCATAATTATGTTCCGGTTGCCAATTCAACCTTCTGTATTGACACATCTACCAATACTGTCTAGGAGAAACAGGCCAAAAATAAGTCTATTCATGATCTTTGTTTCTAAGCACCACTTAAACAACTAACTAATGCAATAAACATTTTGAATTTATGAGACTGGATGAGACCACATAATGTTCTGTTTTACTTATACACAACAAGTAGCCTTCACCCATCATAATTATGTTCCGGTTGCCAACGCAACCTTCTGTATCGACACTTCTTTGGAACAGAAACAGCAGCAAACATAATCAACTTTTGTCTTTTTAGGCCCTAGTAAAACATGGAGACAGGTTAAAGGTAATAGAGTTTTACATGCAGTGTATGCACAATAATGTAAGCATAGGACTCGGATGATCCATAAGTAATGGTCGGCTTCTGATGGAAAGGTGCCTGCAGCAACCTCTTAAAACTATCCTCAAAACAGAGGATGCTTGGCTCAGTGTGTGGTGCAGTGTCCTCTAGTCCATTGGCCTGTGTTTAATCCCTGCTCTTTCTATTCTACTTCAAGCAACAAATAATTATAATTATTATGTGGTAAAACCCCTATAGGCGTTTAACACCTTTATTACTCCACCTTACTATTGCTTTGGAGTGGGTGTTGGTGGTGGAAGAGTAAAGTGATGGCCATATGGATGCGTTCTGAAAGGGTAAAACACAAACCTAGTGTTTACAGTCAATGGATGTAGTGTCTTAACACGACACAGAGGTTACTGTGTTTGCTTGGTGGATGTACGGATCTGTGCATTGCCAAGTTCTCTAAAGTGTTTATCCTAACAGTGAATGAAATGTGAAGTGAAACTTATTTGCCTGCAAGTATTTTGCACATAAACATGGGTAGTTGATAAGTACTTAATCACCGTGTGTTGTAATTTGATCTGGCCACTTGTCACTTACTTGCCAGGGATAAATATCTATAGGCTCTACATATAGTCAATATATGAATACTCTGTTCTACCAATACCGTATAGAGCAGGTACCCAGTCTAGTACAAGAACAAACAAGCTAAACATCTCCCCAAACAAGAATTCATCAAAAATCCAGTAGGAAACCCCTGCACAATATCGGTCGTGGGGGAGTTCCCTTGGGGCTGCTTGTACATAGCAAATGGGTGTCTAAAATAACCATGGCCTCAAACCTGCCTAAATGCACCACCAGTCTTTTGCAAAAGATTATCATGTGTTGTATACTGCAAATGGTATCAGCACTACCTGGAATGATCCCTCTTATGTAGAGTCTCCCTTTACAAGTGGAAAAATCATTTCTTCCAAATGAAAGGGGGATATAGGGATGGCTTGAGGCACCAAAAAGGAAGAAACAAGGGGTCATTACACAGCAAAGTTGCACAAAGCTATTTATAATAACAAAGAGTAGGGTATGTGTAGTGCCTGTCAACCGTTACAGACGCATAGATACATTATGGAAAAGTCCCGCATTCAGATGACTGGGCAGTGTGTACAAGTGAAAAAGCTACCCACTAGCTTCCATGTCACAGTCATGTTCTCACAAGGCAAGTGCATATTTTTACACCTTCGTCCTGGTATATAGAGAATCAGGCATATAGACCTCTAGTATATCCACCTTGTGAAGTATAGTTGCAGCTACTCCTTTCCTGGTAATGACACTGGAAAGAGACCTACTACTTCCATAGCCACATACGGCATGGGATACCAAGCAACAATACTGGTCGGAGGAGCTTTCTGTGATGGAGTATTCTGAGATGAGCATGTAAAGACCACTAGGTAGAAAGGCACAGGCACAGGCACAACAAACAAGTCAACTTCACCCAGGACAGCTATTTCTTTTCAAAGAGTTGTCCTGGGTGGGATTCAAACCCTCGACACTCAGTAGTCTAGGCGAGCGCTCTACCAACTTTGCTACCAGGGCAACTCAGCTGGTTGTGTTTCAAATCAAAGGTAAACCTCCAACCACTGTGCTATGGCAAGGTATATACTCTCACTCAGTACGTAGGAGCCGACCGAACATGCTCAACTCCAAACTGAGTATATGCCCGAGAAAAATACAAGGTAGAAAAGCAGAGGTACCAGTCCTACCTCCATTTCAAATTCCAGCACCTGTAACCGTTGAATGCAGCATCCAGTCTTGCCGCCTTCTGGACCTCCATAACTAAAGGAGTCCCGTCAACGTTGCAAAGTATTAGAGAGTTGGTAGACTCTATATTTAAGGGATGGCATCTCACGTGATCCGCGTACAAAACGACTAAAAACTGTGAGAATGACTTCCTAGGGCTTCAAAACACACTAGCAATAGTCTACGGGCCCACATCTACCTACACATGTTTCAAAAGACCTCATAGGCACCTTCAGTTTTCCACGCGAGAATTCGCTCATACGCGTTTTCACGATTTCGTGTCATCATCATAATATTCTTCATCTTCTTTCCTTGTTTATACCTAGCTTTCCATTTACAGTAGCAAGGAAGGAAGGATAATACTGTAGACCATCTGTACCTACCAAAAAGGGAGTGAATAATTGAAATTTGCCAAACTTCTTGTTGTACGGTAAGTGCAAAGATATAGGGCCATTTTCATGGCTTCCTCAATGGAGACACAAAAGATCAAGTATGTACTTACTTACTTACTGTAATTGTCCCTGTGCATGCACACCTTGGGGACATTAATTGTAAGCCAAATGTAATCCATGCTGGGGGTGTGAATCTCATTAGTTGCAGTTGGCGTAGAAGGCCATGAGTTCCAGAGTGGACTGGACCAGTGGTAGTTGGGAGGTGTGGACTCTGTACACCAGGTCTGTGAGGACCTGCGTCGACTGGGGGTAGAGGAACAGTAGTACAGTTGCACTATGCTGGATCATTCTGACTTCCACCAAGTGAAAGTATGGAAGTTACGAACGTGTATTCATTGTCAACATGTGCAAATTATCCAACAGCAACACCTGGAGAGATACTGATGGCTTTGTATGATACTAACTCATGTATACGTAGCTAACCATGCGGGCTCCCTTGTGAACCATAATACTAGAATGAGCATATTATGAGGAAGAACAAATGCAACGCATTATTGGGGAGCGAAGCGAGAAGTTATATATTTCGTGGGGGTTTTCATGATTATTTATAATAACAAAGAGTAGGGTATGTGCAGTGCCTGTCAACCGTTACAGACAGATAGATATGGAAAAATCCCGCTTTCAGATGACTAGGCGGGCTCGCTTTTCTTCACCAATTACTTGAATGTTGAATGTTGTCATATACCGTGGATGGAAGTAACCTAAAAAAACCTTAAACACAATTACACGGGGAGCTGCATCTCCCCTTTTAATGAGTCAACTGTATTACACAAATCAGTGAAGGATATAAAAATTAGGAACACACTGTAACTATTATTAATCAATAAAGGTTTTATGAGAAACACATGTAAACAAAATAAGACAAAAGGGATACACAGCAACAATGCAAAGAGAAGCTTCCCACAAAACCAAGGAAACAGTTAGTATATCCCTATAAAAATTAAACCCATCATTGAAAATTCCACTCGGTTTTGCTGTAATTGCAGCATTCATAGACATACCCCAGTAAAACAAAAGGAGAGCTAGCAGCATGGTAATTGTCACATAGTTGTGAGCAGGGACGTTTATACGGAGAGAATACAAGGTTGAGACTGAGATACAGTAGAAGCCATATTCCGGCTATGAGGTAGTAGAAAGAGGACTGCGTCAGTGTAAATATCAGTATTTGAATAAGTGGGGAGAGTAGGAGGAGCCCCGAGAAACAGCGACAATCTCTTCCGTTGTTTGTACCGTCTTTGAAGGGACCTTGGAACACCTCCACAAACGTACGTAGGGTAAGGGAATTGAGGCTGATGTTGTTGAGGATTCGTTGAAACCAAGAGAACGGGTACACGAAAAGCAAAATCATTGGTAGAAAGAAAAACATGAACGACAATATGATGGCCAATACAGCGAATGGAAGATGGCCCTTGCTGAAATACCCTTCATAAGCTGTATTGAGAAGATGGTAATTTGAAGTCAGTTTCATGTGTCCGTCACTTTCGTGCTGGTATGAAAAAATGCGTGTGGGGACTAAAAAGCTCAAGGAGGTAAAGAGCAAGCGGGTGGAGGAAAGGTAAATAAAGGATGCAAACACATCCACAAGGGAGGTCCTAATATTCCATCTCCTTTTTAAAGGATTTAAAAAGGCAGAGAATAGCTTCCAAGGCCACACGACAAGTTTGAAGTTGCGGTCATGCAGTTTGACAATGGCATATGTTGCTCCAATCAGTATGACTGGGTATACTGTTGTAACGTATTCAAGAGCCATTATAGTCATTGCAGATGCATTCGGATGCAGACAAAAGGCGTAATATACACGAAAAAAATCAAGGTTCCATAATGCTAACAGGGACATTACGAATTTCAGTAGTTTAGGTGCAACTATGTGACCTGATTTGGCAAGGATAAGGAATATCTGGAGCTGGACTGGATGCGCTCCCACTTGACTAACAGTGACTAGTCCAGAGAGCCATGGAGATGTAAAGCTAATTGCAAAGAGACTCACAACAATGTAGAAAAGAGTCAGTGGGCCAAATGCGACAGCCAGATACTTCAACCAGTTGTACTTGTAGTTGTTACATTTGACACATGCGATATCGTAAGAGTACACCGGAAGGGCGTATCCGTTGTTACACCTGCCACATAACCGTCCGTGTCGATTCAGGTCTGCACACATAAAGTTGTCTAACTTAGCCACAGTACATGGTAGTGGGTAGTAGCTCATGTAAGCGTTACATGCATACATGCAAGCACCAACAATTAGAACTCCGTCTTCCTCCGTCATACAGTAGCACAACAGGAGACTAGTTTGAAGAGTCAGCAAGTCTTGCTCTATGATGCCACCTAGTTTAGGTCCAGGGAGGCATTTCCCCGTCTCGTTTGTGAACCACGGTGGACAAACATTAACACCGTCCTCGTAGTAGGATTTGCTCCGTTTCAATGGGACTCCAAGGATTGCTGAACAGTTTGTTTTGCAAGACTTGCTGATCGTACACAGTTACAGTCTCCTAGCACTGTCAATAGAAGTAGGACTTGTACTCCTGTCATTCTTCTGTCCTCGACAAAGCTTTACTTCGGAGTCTACAAGATTGAAAGTGTTTTGTCAGGTGGTGCAATGGCTATATATCTGGTGTAAGCGAAACTGTGCTATTTAAAAGGAAGGGTTTGGTGGGGATGGGAAAAAACTTTCAGTTGCAGTAAAACTTTATAAGGGCTCTCTCTTCTTGCAAACAGTGTCACAGTTCTAATTCTCGAGAGGACTGTCACCACTCCAAAGTATGTACACTAAACATACACAGCTGCTTGTGTTACTCTGGTAATAACAGGGTTTGCCCTCTTTAACCCTGGTGCTCCCTTTTCCCTTAGCTCTGACTACCTTCACCCTTTCCTCTTACTCTGTTTTTCCTTCTCGCTGTTGTTCTTTTTCGACTTTCATTTGCTCCCTCCATCCTTTGGCCTCTGTTTTATCCCAGCCACCTCTTTTTCTTCCTGAACATACACATGTATAATACTGAAGTGAAAACTCAGCATACGTGTGATGTGGAGAGAAAGACTCTTTCCATCATTATCTTCTGTTTGTGTGAACAAACTGACTTGATTCGTTAATGTTGCCCAGTGTACAGAGAGAACTAGACCAACTGTCATAAGATGATTCTCAACCGGAACTCTAGAAAACCTATAATGTAACCATATTGCTTGCTTTTTGGATAGATTGGAACCAGTACAGAGGGCACACGCACATGTGCACTGGGCAACATCATCAAGTCAGTTAATTAGCCGGTCAATAAAGTGATTGCTTTCCATGAGGTACTCCACATGATACCCATCGTTCATAATGTGTAGGGTATTGGGTAAAGAAAGAAAGATATGGAAGGCATCTGCCAACCTCACCGAGGGCAGCTGTCTAGTTGTCCAAAGTGTATGCATAATTAACTGTTGACTCATTTCTACTCTACCTGGGGACGTAATTGGGCAATGTTCGCGATAAAAATAATAGCAAAAGTTTGCCACAATCCCTTTAAACAGACTGGTAGTAAGTAGTCTTCGCTTGCCTGAGTACCGCACCTCAGAGAGAGTGGCGTAGATGTTGATGAGGTGGACAGGGAGGAGAGAGGGGTTGTAGTGGTGGATGAGGTAGCACAGCAGACTGCCGTCTGAGAAGGATGCAACACCTTTTTGGCAAGCGAAGCTACCATTTTAATTTTTTCATGTGTTTCACACGTATTAAGAATCAAGTAGAACATTACGGATGTGCAGTGCCCATTACATAGAAGAAAAGGTGGGGCTCACTTCGCTCACACATTACAACGGGACAACTGCGCAAGAAACCCCGAATTGTGCTGAGTGCGTGAGTCCATAAAATCAAGACTCTACACTAATCTATGTACACTAATGCCAAAGAGTTCTAGTGTTGGGCAATTGATTTAGGTATAAATACATAATTGAATTGACTTTGTGTTGCATTGTGTTGAAGACATGAATCGGTTGAGTTGCCCTGGTAGCGCAGTTGGTAGAGCGCTAACCGAGACAACAGAGTTTCGTTTGTTTGAATCCCCACCTAGGGTAGCTCTTCTTTCCTTGGAAAAAAAACGGCTGTCCAGGGTGTAGTTGACTTGTCTGTTGTGACTTTTCATTTTCCACCTCGTAGTTTACAAATGTGTATTCTTGGCAGTAGAACTGCAACACACTCCATGAAATCATGAGGTCATCATGTATGGAAAAAGTGCGATCAAAAGATCATACGTTTGTAATTTTCACATAGCTAGCTAAGTGTGGTAATGGCTAATCGAAACTACAAATGAGCTCAATCAGAAGGTGTCATTGAAATCTTGATACAAACCAGGTAACAAAACTGACAGACACGCTGACAAGAAATTTGTAACAGTAATTATCTCATGCATAAGTCATTTACGGTAAAAATACAAAATAACGAAAATTCATACATAACTGTGCATAACTAAAATATACCTGAAAGAAACATATGTTCTTAAGAATAACGACTACAATGTCCAGTTCTCAACCTTCACGATGCATACGAAAATTAGACACACCTTGGTTTTCAAACAAATTCTGTGCTGTTGCTAGCTCATTAGTGAGTCGTAAGATTCAAAAAGCATCCATGACGCATGATACTAATGATGGCTAAACACTTTTACAAACTTAACACAAATTAAATAAAGGAGCAGAAAGCACACAATGTTGGCACATTACCAACATGCAAAGTACTTTTACTGCTGTCAAAATGTGCAAAACTACAGTATGAAACAAGCACAACCGATAATGTTCTCTCAAACAACTCAAAAATAAAAAAGCCTTCAACTGGAAGTGATTCTTTGAAAGCAACAAACATCACTGTTTTGCAATTTTTACAAGAAGTGATTTAGGGTGCACGGGGAATGTTACTGTTCAGTGTCATGTGATGGTGCAGCGGCAATGTAGCCAAAGCTGTCTCTGTACTGGTCAGAGTGCAGCAGACGATGTGGCAGTGAACTGAGTCCATCCTCTGCTTTCTGTCCTCGGAATCTCCTGATCAGGTGGTGTAGGATGACTAATGTGATGTAGATAAGAGGAACAAGACTGAGAACTAAAACACTGACAAACTGGTCACCAAGCTCGGGCTGAAGAATATAGGCTACACCCTTATACCCAATAGATGTAAAGAACAGTGCTTCCCAGAGAAAAAGGTTTGCACTGACAACATTGAACACTCCATACTCCTCCTTGTAGGGTTCTACTAGTATAACAATGGTGGCTGCAATTATGAACAAAATCGCAATAAGGACTTGAGATATGTCACCGAGAGATGCTGCATATATAACATAAGCAAGTGAATTTATAAGAATAAAGAACCCAGCAAACCACTGGCAATCGTAAGTACCATTAGTGCCATCTTTGTAATATTTCTGAAATGTGTTAACAAACTCGTCTAAGAGAGTACCCCTTATTTGGCATTTCTTCAGACATTTGCGATTTATCTTGCATTGGTAACAGAGTAACAGAGACGTTGGGAAGACAATGAAGACCATAAGAATACTAATGGCCAACAGTGCATACGGCAGGTGTTCTCTACCAAAGTATTCAATGCTGGGGTCATAGTACAAGCTCCATGAGTACAAATTTCCATATTTTGTTAAGACCCTTGTAGGAATTAAAAGATCAAATGACAAACTCAACAGTTTAGTGGTGGAAAGAAAGTAGAACGTGACAAAGGCATCCATAATGGTGGTCGGTATACCCCAGTGACGACGAAATCGAGCAAAGAAATAGTGAAAGGGCTTCCACATGTACAGCAATGGTTTAAACCCAAAGCCATACAATTGAACCACCATGTATGCTATGGCCATTACTAACATAGGATAAATGGCTGTAAGATAGTCCAATACCAGGATGTGAAGTGGAATGACATTAATACAAACATCAGGCAAGACATCAACTCGAAGAAAGTCAAGATTCCAAATACCGTAAAGTGTTAACAGAAGTTTCACAAAAACAATAAAGGACATTTTCTTTCCCTGAGACAGAATATACAACATGATCCTAAGTAATGCAGGAGTTGAAATATTCTGAGCTGCATACACAAACATGTGGAGCTTTGGGGAAAGTACATTGATCCTGAAGACCAGAATTATGACAATGAAGACTGTGAGAGGGAGAAAGGCAAAGACTATGTAGAGTCCCCAGTTTTCCATTTCACTGTCACATCTGATGCATTTAAACGCATAGGAATATGCTGGCACAGTGTAGCCATCCAGACACTGTCCACAGAGTGTTCCTTGTCTGTTGAGACCAGCACAGTCAGATGGTGCACCGTGATACATGATGTCTTTGGACCATGTATGGTTTGCACAGTTAAAAATGCAACTTCCAACTACTGGCAGTTCTGTTCCATGTTTGGTATAATGAATTGTTAGGCAGTTGCAGTCACTGACAGACAACTCTTTAGTGACTGCATTACAATGAACAACTCCACCAATATCATCTCCACAACGACATGACTTGGTTTGGTTATCCCATACAAACCATAAATTAGAACATGTTTGCTCATTCACATTATCTTGGGGAATAATGCTATTCACTGAACTGAGATTTGGTACTCCTCTAAGGTTTTGGTCCCTGCTTTGTTGCTGCTTCGATACGTTTTCTTCGAAAAAGTCATTACCACTTCCAAAGTTGTTCTCCTGTCTTTTACTGATAGTATCAATTTCAACTATGACAATAAACAGTAGCGTAAGGGCAAAAGACTTCATACTAGCTGTTCTACAAAGCCGAACGTAAAGTAATGAGTGATCGAGAGTGAAAAATACGCACAAAATGGTGAACATGTCGTATGAAAAACATCTAGCATGCAATATCCATCTGTCTTTGTTTTGAATACCACAAGAACATGAACATTTTTGATATGGAAACAGAAGCAACCAAGTATTCTTTAGGCATACTTTCTTACATGTGGATCTAAAGATTGTGTGGGTGAATGATATGCACACGGAATAGCCAAGCCTTTGACGTCATTCGTCAACCTAAACACATAACGTATAGTTTGGGCAGCAAACTGTTACACAAGGGATACAAAGCATTGATACTGTGCAGAAGATTTATGTGGTACTTAGCTGGTAAGAGTGTTCCTGTGGTTCAGACTTGGCCTGTCAGAGAAGGTTCACCATAACACATGATTCCCTGGTTATTCATTTACCCAATAATGATGCTCTAATTCTGAAAGGTTTGTGTCCTTGTTTGGTAACTGGGACAGAGAGCTCTTTGGTAGCCGTGTCATAATAATTATGCAGCTCCATTCAGATAAGTTAGGTTTACGTGGACATGTTTTGATCTAAACGTGGCCCTAGAGTCTCTCAATATCCTATCAGTGTACAGATGTATTTATGACACTAGGGATGGCACAGGTGAAATATCATGCAATCTGCATACAAAAAGTCTACAAACTCAGCAAAAGCACATAGCTAAGCCTTCAGAACACACTAAACACACAAACTACAGGTGTAGATAATAGATATGCCCCAGGTGTTGAAACATGGTTGTGCTAGCTCTCCATGCAAGACTCTGCTCATAATTTTATGTCATCACATTCTTTTTCTTCTTCAGTAAACGTACTAAACACTGAGCAACAGGTTCTTGTAACGACAGAGACGTGGATTAGCTCAGACACTGGCTGGTATATTTAACTCTGTATTGCTAGTTAGACTTGGTTACTTATTAACCTAAGCAGGTTGGCCCTAGACACTTGGAATTTAAGCTCATGTCTCTCTTTTCGTAAAGTATGAACGGTCTAGGATAAGAAAAAGCTGAATGCATCATCATCTCCACCAACAATGCTCTTTGTCACAAAAAGTACCTTCTAAAAGACGCGCATAGAGAAACTGTTGATTGTACAAAGAGCAACATGCAGTCACAGCCATATGTCCAGGGTCAGAATAACCATTTCGGCCGGATCCACACACTGCAAAGAAAAACAGTCATCTCAAAACATGTTGTGTTTTTAAGCCCTATGTACACAACAAGCCAACTGTTTGTGCCTGCTTTCAAGGGGACATATATAAGTACATGTCCCTCCATATATACCTTTCCTGCATAATCGAAAAGGAACAATAAAACGCGCCAAGCTAGACAAGTGAGCGGCAGAGTGGGTATGTGGATAGCCAAAAGCTCTCTGGTTGGCTTATACATATGCACCATGTAACTTAGTAATGAAAAGCACTGAAGTGCAAACCCTCGGCGCACTGTGACGCGCACGCGTAAGTAAACGCATGCGTCGTACCACTAATTGATGGGCTGGGTTTAGTTTTAGCTGTTACCCGTGGTCTCTTGCCAGCTCGCACAGAGTCTGACACGGGCTAACTACACTACTAGATAGCATGCGAGAGGCGATACACGCCCTGCGTTGCATCTTCTGGTGCCTCCGAAGTACGCAGAGTACGCGGATCGCCATCCCGTCCGTTGTGTATTTGCATATTGGCTTTTTCGCGCTCTAGCTTTGCAACGGAGCGTTTTCAGAGAAAACCGCCTTTATTTTCTGACCTTCGTCGCCCGTTGGGTAGATGGTATCCTTTCTGGGACGAACAGACGTTCGAGAAGTGAGATTGAGAGTAACAGACACACAGACAAACCCAACTACAGTAACCCTCTATGAGTCTCAGTTCCTTTATCAAGGAAGAGCAATGTGTGGTAAGAAAACAAGTACAGTGAGACTTTCCTAGATTTCGCCTTACGAAAGTAGAGGATTAAACAGGCTGCAAATTCTCTCCTAAGGCAAAGAGCTGAATGCTTGCCACAAAGCAAAAAAGAAACTTGAATGCAAAACGCTCCGCAAAACAGTGGTTTTGGAATCAGGCCTATTACATTCCACATCAGAGCACCAATATTAAATTGAAGCCAGGTTCGAGATCCTACGGTGGAAACAATTGTTTATCGTTACTGACATGAGTAAGTGAGACCAAGTTAAAAATGCTGGGGTACAGGTCAAAAGACATAATAAATTTACCAATGCCATCACACAGTGTTGAAGGCATTATGCATTATGAAGACTGTCCACAGTGTGCTGAAATTGTGGCTATGTAGCCACAAGTGTCTCTGTACTGGTCGGGGTGCAGCAGACGATGTGGCAGTGAGCTGGTGAGTCCATCCCCTGCTTTCTGTCCTCGGAATCTCATGATCAGGTGGTGTAGGATGACTAATGTGATGTAGGATACTAGTGGCCAACAGTGCATATGGCAGGTGTTCTCCACCAAAGTATTCAACGCTGGGGTCATAGTACAAGTTAAACGACAACAACTTTCCATCACTTGAGAAAACTGGTACAGCAATCAAAAGATCAAATGACACACTCAACAGTTTAGTGGTGGAAAGGAAGAAGAATGTGACAAAGGCATCCATAATGGTGGTCGGTATACCCCAGTGACGACGAAATCGAGCAAAGAAATAGTGAAAGGGCTTCCACATGTACAGCAATGGTCTAAAACTCAAAGCCATACAATTCAACCATAGCGTATGCAGCAGCCATTAGCAGCATAGGATAGATAGCTATGAGATAGTCCAATACCAGGATGTGAAGAGGAATGACATTGATACAAACATCGGGTAAGATGTTCACTCGAAGGAAATCCAGATTCCAAATCCCATAGAGTGTTATCATTATGGTTACTGGAGTAAATAGAAAGTTTTCATCCTGTTTCGATATGATATAAAGCACCGTCCTAATAAGTATAGGTATTGACAGACTCTGAGCAGCAATCACAAACATGTGGAGCTTTCCATTTCACTGTCACCATCACCGCTCTCAACATTCACAGAACCGTTAGCATGTGATGTTTCTCTAATCCGTTTGTTATAGTGCTCATCTTTCCACAAGTCATACTTATCTCCATCTTTTTTGAGGTCAAGTTTCGTTTCACTGACACTACTAATGCTGCCTAGGATGAGAAACAGGAGTTGAAGGGCAAAAATAAGTCTATTCATGCTCTTTGTTTCTAAGTACCACTTAAGCAACTAACTAATGGAATAAACATTTCAACTTAAGTACGAGACAGGATGAGACATTTGTTCTGCTTTACTGATACACAACACGTAGCTAGCTACACCCATCATAATTATGTTCCGGTTACCAATTCAACCTTCTGTATTGACACATCTACCAATACTGTCTAGGAGAAACAGGGCAAAAATAAGTATATTCGTGCTCTTTGTTTCTAAGCACCACTTAAACAACTAACTAATGCAATAAACATTTTGAATTTATGAGACAGGATGAGACCACATAATGTTCTGTTTTACTTATACACAACATGTAGCCTTCACCCATCATAATTATGTTTCGGTTGCCAATGCAACCTTCTGTATCGACACTTCTTTGGAACAGAAACAGCAGCAAACATAATCAACTTTTGTCTTTTTAGGCCCTAGTAAAACATGGAGACAGGTTAAAGGTAATAGAGTTTTACATGCAGTGTATGCACAATAATGTTAGCATAGGACTCGGATGATCCATAAGTAACGGTTACTGTGTTTGCTAGCCGCAAAACAGAGGATGTTTGGCTCAGTGCGTAGTGCACTGTCCTCTATATAGTACATAAGCCTGTGTTTAATCCCTGCTCTTTCTATTCTACTTCAAGCAACAAAATAAAGATATTTATTATGTGGTAAACCCCTAGGCGTTTAACACATTTATTACTCCACCTTACTATTGCTTTGGAGTGGGTGTTGGTGGTGGAAGAGTAAAAGTGATGGCCATGGATGCGTTCTGAAAGGATATAACACAAACCTGGTGTTTACAGTCAATGGATGTAGTGTCTTAACACGACACAGAGGTTACTGTGTTTGCTTGGTGGATGTGCGGATCTGTGTATTGCCAAGTTCTCAAAGTGTTTATCCTAACAGTGAATGAAATGCGAAGTGAAACTTTTTGCCTGCAAGTATTTTGCACATAAACATCAGTAGTTGATATGTACTTAATCACCGTGTGTTGTAATTTGATCTGGCCACTTGTCACTTACTTGCCACTGATAAATATCTATAGGCTCTACATACAGTCAATATACGATTACTCTGTTCTACCAATACCGTATAGAGCAGGCAGTACCCTGTCTAGTACAAGAACAAACAAGCTAAACATCTCCCCCAAACAAGAATTCATCAAAAATCCAGTAGGAAACCCTTGCACAATATCGGTCGTGGGGGAGTTCCCTTGTACGTAGCAAATGGGTGTCTAAAATAACCATGGCCTCAAACCTGCCTAAATGCACCACCAGTCTTTTGCAAAAGATTATCATGTGTTGTATACTGCAAATGGTATCAGCACTACCTGGAATGATCCCTCTTATGTAGAGTCTCCCTTTACAAGTGGGAAAATCATTTCTTCCAAATGAAAGGGGGATATAGGGATGGCTTGAGGCACCAAAAAGGAAGAAACAAGGGGTCATTACACATCAAAGTTGCTTATAAACAATAAAACAAAGATTAAATCTGGTGAAACAAGTTAATGTGCTGTGCTGATGGTTTGCACTCTTGTACTTTCATTTTTCCAGGTGTATACCTCAGTCTGAACGGTGAAATCTTCACTAATCATAGCTATGTGGATATCAGTGATATTGGCTCCACTGATAACACTGCTCTACTGTGTATCACTGCAGGTCTATAATTGTAAGTCAAATGTAATCCATGCTGGGGGTGTGAATCTCATTAGTTGCAGTTGGCGCAGAAGGCCATGAGTTCCAGAGTGGACTGGACCAGTGGTAGTTGGGAGGTGTGGACTCTGTACACCAGGTCTGTGAGGACCTGCGTCGACTGGGGGCAGAGGAACAGTAGTACAGCTGCACTATGCTGGATCATTCCGATTTCCACCAAGTGAAAGTATGGTAGCTACAAAGAGTAGGGTATGTGCAGTGCCTGTCAACCGTTACAGACAGATAGATACATTAGGGGAAAATCCCGCATTCAGATGACTAGGCAGGCTCGCTTCCTTCACTAATGATTTGAATGTTGAATGTTGTCATATACCATGGATGGAAGTAACAGTAGTAGGGTAGCTAGAAAAACCTTAAACACAATTACACGGGGAGCTGTGTCTCCCCTTTTAATGAGTCCACTGTATTACACAAATACCGTATAGCGGGAAATTTTCGCGTGGTGCAAAATTTAAAAACCACGAAAAATTCAATAGGTATGACGTCACTGTTGGAAAAGCGCAGGCGCGGGGGCGGGGCTAAGAAGCCAGCAGCTATATAGCTGAATCGAGATCGCGATGGCTCTTTATCGCTATTTTCAACCTGCAGCAGACTCACTTCCGGACCCCAAAGGACCTCTTTCAACAAAACTCACATCCTCCACGATAAGAGAAGCTAACGAAGCCGTTAGGAGCGCCGCTACGAAGCGAAAGGATCGGCGGTGTTGAAAGGTTCCCTTCGGCAGATCAATTCTTCGTTAACAACTGCAGTCCAAATCGACTTGTACACGTGGTAACCTCTAATCATCGCTTCCACATAATAGGTAGATTCCATGACGATCGCTACACAGCTAGCTATAGCCCTGGCGCCCTGGAAGTGTGAACGTGACCGACACGTGCGCGCGCTTGGCTCTGCTAAAATTTGGGCGTGGTCTTACGAAAATTTCTGCTGGAGGCTCCATGGACGAACCCGCGAAAATATGCACCCGCGAAAATTTCCCGCTATACGGTAAAGTGAAGGATATAAAAAGAGGAACAGTAGTACAGTTGCACTATGCTGGCTCATTTGATTTCCACCATAGTGAAAAGTATTGGTAGATACGACCGGTATCAAGATGGCAACATGTAGCTATGTGCAAATATCCAACTAGCAACACTGGAGAGATAGTGATGGACAGTTTGCATGATACTAACTCATGTATACGTAGCTAACCATGCGGGCTTGTGAACCATAATACTAGAACGAGCGTCTGATGGAAGAACCAATTGCAACACATTATGGGGACGAAGCGAGAAAGTTATATATCCGTGGGTTTTTCATGAATACTGCACTGAGAACACAAAAACAAGAGTAGGGTATGTGTAGTGCCTGTCAACCGTTACAGACACATAGATATATACATTATGGAAAAATCCCGCATTCAGATGACTGGGCAGGCTCGCGTTCTTCACCATGTTGTCATTTACCATGGATGGAAGTAACAGTAGTAGGGTAGCTAGAAAAAACCACACAATTACACGGGGAGCTGCATCTCCCCTTTAATGAGTCCACTGTATTACACAAATCAGTGAAGGATATAAAATTAGGAACACACTGTAACTATTATTAATCAATAAAGGTTTTATGAGAAACACATGTAAACAAAAGTAGACAAAAAGGATACACAGCAACAACGCAGATAGAAGCTCCCACCAAAACCAAGGAAACAGTGAGTATATCCCTATAAAAATTAAACGCATCATTGTAAATTCCACTCGGTTTTGCTGTAATTTGCAGCATTCATAGACATACCCCAGTAAAACAAAAGGAGAGCTAGCAGCATGGTAATTGTCACATAGTTGTGAGCGGGACGTTTGTACGGAGAGAATACAAGGTTGAGACTGAGATACAGTAGAAGCCATATTCCGGCTATGAGGTAGTAGAAAGAGGACTGCTGCGTCAGTGTAAATATCAGTATTTGAATAAGTGGGGAGAGTAGGAGGAGCCCCGAGAAACAGCGACAGTCTCTTCCGTTGTTTGTACCGTCTTTGAAGGGACCTTGGAACACCTCCACAAACGTACGTAGGGTAAGGGAATTGAGGCTGATGTTGTTGAGGATTCGTTGAAACCAAGAGAACGGGTACACGAAAAGCAAAATCATTGGTAGAAAGAAAAACATGAACGACAATATGATAGACAATACAGCGAATGGAAGATGGCCCTTGCTGAAATACCCTTCAGAAGGTACATTGAGAAGATGGTAATTTGAAGTCAGTTTCATGTGTCCGTCACTTTCGTGCTGGTATGAAAAAATGCGTGTGGGGACTAGAAAGTTCATGGAGGTAAAGAGCAAGTGGGTGGAGGAAAGGTAAACAAAGGACGCAAACACATCCACAAGGGAGGTCCTAATATTCCATCTCCTTTTTAAAGGATTTAAAAAGGCAGAGAATAGCTTCCAAGCCCACAAGACAAGTTTGACGTTGCGGTCATGCAGTTTCACAATGGCATATGTTGCTCCAATCAGTATGACTGGGTATACTGTTGTAACGTATTCAAGAGCCATTATAGTCATTGCAGATGCATCCGGATGCAGACAAAAGGCGTAATATAAACGAAAAAAATCAAGGTTCCATAATGCTAACAGGGACAGTACGAATTTCAGTAGTTTAGGTGCAACTATGTGACCTGATTTGGCAAGGATAAGGAATATCTGGAGCTGGACTGGATGCGCTCCCACTTGACTAACAGTGACTAGTCCAGAGAGCCATGGAGATGTAAAGCTAATTGCAAAGAGACTCACAACAATGTAGAAAAGAGTCAGCGGGCCAAATGCGACAGCCAGATACTTCAACCAGTTGTACTTGTAGCTGTTACATTTGACACATGCGAGATCGTAAGAGTACACCAGAAGGGCGTATCCGTTGTTACACCTGCTGCATAACCGTCCGTGTCGATTCAGGTCTGTACACATAAAGTTGTCTAACTTAGCCACAGTACATGGTAGTGGGTAGTAGCTCATGTAAGCGTTACATGCATACATGCAAGCACCAACAATTAGAACTCCGTCTTCCTCCGTCATACAGTAGCACAACAGGAGACTAGTTTGAAGAGTCAGCAAGTCTTGCTCTATGATGCCACCTAGTTTAGGTCCAGGGAGGCATTTCCCTGTCTCGTTTGTGAACCACGGTGGACAAACATTAACACCGTCCTCGTAGTAGGATTTGCTCCGTTTCAATGGGACTCCAAGGATTGCCGAACAGTTTGTTTTTGCAAGACTTGCTGATCGCAGACAGTTACAGTCTCCTAGCACTGTCAATAGAAGTAGGACTTGTACTCCTGTCATTCTTCTGTCCTCGTCAAAGCCTTACTTAGGAGTCTACTAGATTGAAAGTATATTGTTTTGTCAGGTGGTGCAATGTCTGGTGTAAGCAAAACTGTGCTATTTAAATTTTTTGTGGGGATGGAAAAACTTTCAGTTGCAGTAAAATGTCATAAGGGTAAGGAAAGGATGGATGTGAGGTGGAGGCTGGCTCTCTTTTTTGCAAACAGTGTCACAGTTCTCACTCTCGAAAGGACTGTCACAACTCCGAAGTATGTATACTTAGCATACACAACTGCTTGTGTTACTCTGGTAATGACGGGGTTTACTCTCTCTTTAGCCCTGGTGCCCTTAGCTCTGGCTGCCTTCACCCTTTCCTCTTACTCTCTTTTTCTCTCGCTGCTGTTCTTTCTCGACTTTCTTTTGCTCCCTCCATCCTTTGGCCTCTGTTTTATCCCAGCCACCTCTTTTTCCTTCCTCACGTATAATAGTGT